AATTTGAAGTTTATTTCAAGCAAAAAATAAATAAGAGTAGCGATTGTGATAGAACATTTAAAAGTGTGCGAAAAAAACAAAAAAAATTTAGATGGTACCTTACACCAATAAATGAGAACACAATTTTTTCAAAAGTTATCATCAACTTGTCAGAAGATCTCTATCTCATTGAGAAAAAAAAAGCCAAGATCTCTGGCACTTACGAGGAAACCACTCATTTGCTTGGAAAATCCTGAGACAGAGCCGAAGGAGCATTGCGTCATGTCAATCAGACTCAACAAAGTTAAAAAGTGGGCAACCTTTCCTGGCTAAATAAAATAATTTCATTTAACTTAATTCAATTTTCGTTTGGTTCATAGCTTTCAGATGTATTGAGCAACCCTAGCCGGCTATCCCTAGGGGTAGGTAGAAAAGGTGCTGAACTGTTCAAGCAGGACAAATCAAATCAATCCAACCGTTTTGGTTCGATTTCAACTTTTTAACAAATAAGAAGGGTGCTATGCGGTGTTTATTAGACTATCTTCAATTGATCCGGTCAGAGAATCATAAAATCAAAAATAGTCTAAAATAATATGAAAATTGTTTCCAACCAAGAACTAGGCCAACGAACTTGTGACCCTATCAGGTCAAAACTAACCAATCAAGCTAGTGGGTTGGCCATCTCTAACCAGCCAGCTAGCCCGATAAGACCATCTCCAATGGTTGGGCTAAAAGCCAAATTTTTTAGCCCGAAAAATTTAGCTTTTAGCCCAGAAACAACTTTTCTGCTCCAACCGTTCTGGTCTAAAATTTTAGCCCGGGATTATTAAAGAATGAACTTATGCTATTTTTTTTGTTAAATTAATTTTTTTAAAAAAAATAAATATGTAGACTATCGTAAATTAATTTTATGAACATTTTAATCTAAAAAAATTTAAATTCCGATAAATATTGAAAAATCACTAAATTTCCCACAAAGCAAGCCGTCAACTTAATTAATAAAGCACATGATTAATAAACTTAATTAATAAAGCACATAATTAATAAAGCATATAATTCATACACTACATAAACTTAACAATCATATCCACTATCTTCACTTGGTGATGGACTTCGTTGAAATGTTGGGATATAGGGTTGAGAAGATTCATCATCTTGAAACATACTCCTTGAGGCAGACTTTCGCATAATTTCCTTTTGTTTATCACGTAAGAACTTCTTCCTCTCTGGAGTGTATTGGCTGAGGTCCTTCATCATGAATTCAATTTCAAACCTATTTTCCTCCCTATCCGAGATTTCCTTCATTTGCAAACGCATTCGAGCCGCTTCTTCTTGGCGAGCGCTATGAGTCTCGTTCAATTTTGCCATTCCGGTATCAAAGTATCCACTCATCAGATCTTGGGACTTCCCTTTTCTCTTTGCTTCCTTTTGCTTATCTCTTCCTGGGGGCCTTGCAAAAGAAGGAGATGGGGTCGTTTCATCGACACCTTCAACAACATCTTCATCTCCGGCATTTGTCTGTGCAACTTCACGTTGAAATAATCTTCCCCATTGTTGGTCCACATCGGTTCCCCACCTTGGACAATCCTTGAGGATGTCCCAAGCATGTTGCAACTTAAAGCTGCACAGACAAATGCCGGAGATGGTCTAAGCCAGCCCAATTTTGTTTTGTTTTTTTTTTTTTTAGCCCATTGTTGGAGATGGTCTAAGCCAGCCCAATTTTGTTTTGTTTTTTTTTTTTTTTTTGAGGATTTTTTTTTTCCTGTCCACTTTTTTTTTTTTTTTTTAATTTCTAATTTTTTCCTACACTATTTCTCACATATTTTTTTATTATCCCATATTATATTATCTAATTTTATTTCAATTCTTCACATTCTCTATTATGACCCTTTGGCCCCCTGGGTTGGAGATGATTTTTTGTCACAATGCTACGTTTGGCTTATGGTCATTTGACCCCTCTGTTGGAGATGATATGAAATACGGCTTGGCACTGTTCATTAAAATATTAATTTCTTAAAAGACTATAAGGTTAAAACGAGCTATTTAGCCCTCCTTCAATTAGAGATGGCCTTAGAGAAATTTTAGTGTCTAAGGGCTCCTTATGGCCATTGGCAATTGAATCATCTCTAGTAAAATAACAAAGTTCTTAAAGACGTTAGACACTAGTCGGGCGACAGGCTAGGGCCTAGCGTTTGGGCAAATTTAAGTAAATCTATCATATTTCGTGTAAATAAGGATCTGCTTATACTTAAAATATATATAATTTCATCATAAACTACAAAATATAATGCATATATATTATGAAGTATTAGAACATAATAAAAACATGTGAAATAAGGATATAATGATTGTTCATTTGTATGCAACAAGTCTCTTACAATTTATTAGAAAAAAATAAAATGCAAAATGAAAGTTATCTATTTTCTGTCTAACTAAGTTGCGACCTAGGCGAGTGCTGATATGATTTTTAGCACCTGCAAAAATAGAGATAAAACACTTAAAAACACTTGCAAGAGTATAAGGTTGTCGTAGTATAGCAGTTCAAGTAAGGTCATTTTCCACAGAGATTGAATGAATAATTTGTGTTTAAATCCAACTCTTAATTAATTATTGAAAACAAAGTTGGAAAATGTTGATTTTAGAATTTAATATAATAAAAACGAATTTTAAAATAAAACAATTAAAGAAATTAACTAGAGAACAATTTAAAGAAAATCAATTTGTAAAAGTCTTGGATTCTGCCGCCCCCTTAACAATCTTACGCAATTTTACCAACTACTTATGAATTTCCACATACATGCTTTGAAGGTTTGGTTTTCCTAATGCATATTTTTCTCGTGATGTTCAAGCGAAAACGTATATCTAACATGCAACCCGTCTGTGATGTTCAAATCAAATATAAACATGCAAGACTCATTAAGCTTTGTAAAAACCTTTTGAAAAATCATGCAACCCTTAAAAGTGTGATGTTCGCCTTAAGTGAACTTACAATTACTAGTCACAAGAAGCTCTCCTCAATTTCAGGGTGATGTTCCAACAGAAATTGTATCAAATTACTTATCAAAAAACCCTAATAGTCGTGAATCACTAAGACAATTAAATAGTTTTAATCGCGGTGATTAATAATTCAAAGCAAGCATGCATCCATTCATAAGCAAATTAATAAAATCATATATTCATGCTAAAGCTCAAGGCTTCGCCCTAACAAAAGAATTTAGTTATGAACAATCATAAAATAAAATATTATTAAGAATAAAGATAGAAAACACCTAGAAAATAAACTTAAATTGTCAAAGGCTTGTGCGTGTGTTTCCACGTCTCCTTCCCCTCTAACCCTAATGGCTAAAAAACCTTATTTATACTATTACAAAATAAAACCCTAAAAGGTGTTAGAATAAAACTAGCAAACATAATAAAAATAATAAAACAGAAATTAAAGGTTTCCTATTTGAACTAAAATTCGGACTTCTCAGAAAATCAGACTTTTGACAGACCAAATCAACTCCGATTTGGTCCCAAAAGGTCTCTTTTGAAAGCTGGAGACGTCCCCTATAAATCCTCAGAAGGAATCTTTCTCAAAATATACCATATTGACCTCCAAAATACTTAAAATTTCCGTAAACGTCAATATGGAAAACCTACCCTTTATTTCATCACCATGGTCAAACGGCTTGGTAGAAAAATCTGAAATTTTGACACAATTATCTTGAAAGAATCATGAACATCCTCCAATTATAATCACTCCAAAATTTATCCGTTAGTTCACTTTTTGCTCCAGAGGAAGTCACATGTCCTACATTGAGAATATATAACAAAGTATCAAAATTCTACCAAAATAATCAATAAATTAATACTAAGATTAAGGTGAAATATATAGTATAATATGGACTCATCAAGTGCCTAGGCAAGTATGGGTGGGCTAGGCGGGTGCCTAGGCAGTCTAGGTAGGTGCCTCAGGAGGTCTAGGTGTCGTTTCTTAATTTTCAAACGTCTAGGCATTAATTGGAGCTGTGGCCAAGGCCTACGCGGCGCTAGGTGGGGATTTTTGGAACAATGGTAAATAGTAATTGCCTTTAATTAATAGTAATTGTTTTTTGTATTTCTACTCATAAACTGAATAGCCATGACAATAGACAATAAAATATTAGTACTTTTTATTTTATAAAATAATAAGAAATAATTTAAATTGAAATTTGAATAAGATTTTTAACCGATCTCGTCTCATCATATGTCATTATCCGAAAGTACAATTTTTGTAAATAGATTTTGATAAAATTTTTAACCAATTCCGTTGCGTGACATGTTCTTACCTATTTAGAATCGTTGAAAATATTGAAATGTAGTGTAAGGTGAGAAAAAATTGTAAGGTACTTATACAAAAAAATATTATAATTTTTTTTAAATTTTTTTTCGGATTTTTAATTGATTTTTTAATTTTTTTTTATTAACTTGATTAATCTGGACCGTCGGATTATAAAAAATTTGAAATCCAACCATCCAGAATGAGACACGTGGCCCACCCAAACATTTATGATTTTTTTAAAGCCGAAAAAATTGGACTGTTGATCTGAAAATCAAATAGTCCTATTTCAAAGTGACTGAGTAAGGCTGACATGCAGGCCCCATCGTTTGAAAATATACTTGAGACACACCCCCACGAGGGCGTGTTGTCCACGCGGTTGATGCAAATTTTTTTTGAACGTGGTTGACGTCACTTTCCCTTAGGCACTCGGGCCTAGAACTCCTGCCTGCCCTCTCCCAAGGGCTCCCCCTTAACCCAATAGCCCGAATGGGCTGAAACCAGTTTGAAGGACAATTGGATTGGATTTGTTGCCAATCCCCATGGCTAAATACCACAATGGAGCTGTTCTTATTTCAACAGACATGTGATTTGGTTGCCAAACCTTAAATATTCTCATTAAAAAGGTACATAAAAACTTCGTGGTGCACCTTAGCCGCTATAACAAGATCAATTAGCATAATCACGAGATCAAGTTAATTATATAAACTTTTGCATCTAATTTAATCAGTGCATAAAATTAAGATTTCTCATATATCGAGCATAAAATAAAAAGAACATAAAAGCAAATATGATATGAAATTAGCATGCATTCCATATCATATCCATTGTCTCACACGCACGCGCACCCACCTTTCTCTAGAAATCAAGACAACCAAAACAAGATCCATTCAACAGTTTAATACAAAAAAAAAATAAAGATGTCCACTTTCCCTAATGGAATTCAAAATAAACAAGATGCCCTCCGGGGTAAGATGTAAACGGCAAAGATCATCTAAAAAGCAAAGAAACGTACCTGCATCAAACAACACCCCCGGATTTAGATTAAAATCTTTTAAGAAATCCTGTTGCAGGAGTGAAATAATGGAAAATAATCACAAAAATTAAATGAAAACAACTGAGAACAAAATAGTAGTGATGACCTGCGAACAATCTTTCAGAGCCTCCCAGCATACCAGCTCCGGGTGCACATTAAGGCATTCAGAAAGTCCGGCTTCAAGAAAGCTACACGTTCGTCAACTGGCCTTGGTTCGGTGTAGAATGCCTCAAATGAAGTCGCAACAGAAACTGGAATAGCCAAGAGATCGCGCACCATCCTCGCAAGGGTAGGATACTTGGCGCCTGCGGTTCTCCACCAGGTCAATGCATTAAAATCCTTGCTCCAAGGTAAGACCGGTTCCTCCAAATAGCTATCCAAATCCGATCTTTTTGTAGGCTGAATATCCTGTTCGACGAACTGCTGGTAGGCTTGCAACACACCAAAAGTATGACTCACATTTTTAGGAGGAAGTGGAGGAGTAGAGTCGGGAGACTCTCCTTCTGAATCTGAATCCAAAGAAGATGAATCACTCACGAAACTCTCATTTTCAGGAAAACGGATCATATACTCATCAAACATTTTGTGAATAGCCCCCAAAACAGCTGCAACTTGTGAGTCTGCATCGTCACCCTTGACTTTTGAGCAAACAAATTCTACATATTTCATCTTAAATCGAGGATCCAGCGCTGCAGTTATGGCCATCAGCAAGAACGTGTCATCCCAATACTTACGAAACTTCTTCAACATTTCCTCAATAATAGTTCTGATAAAACTGTCCGAGTTAACGGACATTGTGGTCAGAACCTCGCGAATTTCATGCAGGTGATAAAGATAAACATTAGCGGTCAGATGTTTTGTTTCGAACAATGCATTTGCCACTTCATAGATGCTATCCACAAGATTGCAAACACCTTCAAGAGTCTTCCATTCCTCGGCGGATGGTACATCGTAATCATCAGTCACATCTTTTGAAGAGAATTCTCCCATATGATATAACTCTATAGCTGGTTTGAGCTTGGAACTCGTGAGATACCACAGGGGTAATGATTTCGAAGAATACAGTAGAGAAACTTTGTCGATCAAATCTTCAATCTCTTCAAATGCATCCTCAACCATTAAACTGAGTGTTTTCCCCAAACAATTCACATTAAACAGCTGACCGCCGAGTTGAAGTTCATTCTTTTCTTGGATGTGAGTTTTCACATACTCGGCTAAATAATCAAAATTAGTTGTGGTGACTGCTGATATCTTGTCCTCAATGCCCCAATCCTGAATGGACTTAAAAATTCCCCAATCCTCAGCACAATCATCAGATGAATCGCTGAGATGACGAAAGTAAAGCACCCACTTCCTCAGCTTCCAATTCTCGTCAACAAAATGCGCGTAAAGGCATAAGTAAACTTCACTGTCATAGTCGAAACTAAGCGATTTTTGGTACCTCAATAAGTCCACAGAAAGGCTAATCTGCCCATTGAAATTTTCAAAGAATTCCTTAATTCCCAACTTCCTTTCCCCATAAACTTTCATGCATTCACTTCTAACCATGGCGTAAGTAAGATTAAACCTCGGGTTAAGCCTAAGTGCCAAATTCCTAAAAATAGGATGCTTCACCAACGTAGGCGGAAACTCAATGGAGCAAACAAAGTCCGCAACAGCCCTCAGAGTTTTCTGCTCATCGTATTCGACAAGCATATGCCCCATCCATAGATAGTAGTTATCTTCAACCACCTTAAATGGAAGAAGACCTACAACGTACATAAACACTGCAAGTTCTGTAGTAGCTTTTTGCACATCATCATCTTTATCAACCCCCTCCTCAACATTGTCCCTTGTATCTGAATCTGATGGAATAGAAATCCTATCCATTCCATCATTGCTACCCACAACACTGCCTTCAATTCCATGATCAGACATATCTAGCAAACACAAAATTATCAAAATATAGAACCCTAGAAACCCTACTTTTTAAAACATTAATTCATGCAAGTTGATTTATGGCATGTTTGAGATTGCTTTGCTAAGTGTTTTCTAACAACCCAAAAGCGCTACTGACAATTGGCAGAAAAACTCAAAAAACGTTTTTGGGGTCGTAAATTGAACCGCTTTATGGAGAAGCACAAAGCACCTACTACGTGCTTCTTACAAAAGCAGTCCAAAACAAGCATCTCGTCTATTTCTTTTGCACTATAAAGTAAAACCAAGAATACCCATCAGCAAAATAACCCAAAATCTTGCAGTGGAATCTTAAAACTTCAGAATTTATTCAACCCCATAGAACTCTGAACTTAAAGGTAATATACTGAATGATATAATATCAACAAAAGATACCAAAGTAGACCGTATAGGAAAATAAATATACAAAAAATAGACAGGACAGAAAACAAAAACTCATAGTTCCACAAAAAATATATCATGTGTGATCATTCTATGAAATATATATCTGGAAAAACAAATATATGATTTCGAGTGGAAGCCGAACCTTTGTTTTCTGGTGATGAAACGGCGAGAGGAAGCGAGGAGGGAAGCGGAGAACAAGGGATTGTGGGGGTCGTGTGGGAAGTGGAATGGATTGAGAAAGAAACGCAGTATATATGGGCTGCTCAGGATGTGGCTCATTTTAGCGGGAATGCTAAGCAACAACAGCATCGAACCGTACACGTGTCTAGGTTATGAAAAAAATGTCTCTTCGTTTCTTTCGCACCCTTTTCTTTTCGGATTCTCTCCCTTCTTTAGATTATGAACAAAATGTCTCTTCGTTTCTTTCGCACCCATTTCTTTTGGAAGCAGGATACTCTCCCTTCTTTTTTTTTTTTCCTTTTTTTGTTTCTTCTTTTTATTTGAACGGTTATAATTAAGTCACGTTAACATTTTATATTAATTTTTTAAGAAGTTTTAACGAAAAATTATATTTTTACACTAAAAAATTAATCTGGTAGTATTCATTTTACGCTTTTTTTTCTTTATCATTAAAAATCAAAATTTTAAAATTATTTTTATTAGTTCTTCTAATTTTTTTTTATAAAAAAAGAACAATAAAATAGAGAAGGTAAAAAGAGGAGATAGAAAGGGAAGAAAAAAAAAGGAAAAGAGAATCTAATCCCTTCTTTTCCTGCTGTAATTTTTCTGCACACATCAAATCATCTCTTGTCAACCCGTCCATCGATATGGTGAATTTTCTTTTCGTATCAAATATGTTCTGGTCTTCAGTGGGAAATCTTATTATCCATATACTAATGTTACATGACAAATATTTAAAAAAAAATTAAAATATGTTTTATAATTTTTACTCATGGTTTAATATCTTAATGAATAAGGTGTGAGTTTTTACGAATACGTCCCACCTTCGAATTTCTTTTATTTCCAAAATTATTGTAATAGTTTTGAATTAGTCTCCATTTATGTACTAATAATGTTGTTTAAAAACTGTTTTAACATATAAAAAACATTTAATGAACTAATAACCACATCAAGTGGCATGTCGGTAAGGACGCGAACTGTGACTCGCCAAAAAAAAAAGAAAATGTAAGGTTTCGGTTTGATGTTTCGAATCGGTAAGTCTACTTGACTGTGATCATGAACAAAGTAAAATTCTCCAACCTCTCCAGACCTAGAAGAGGTGGATAGAGCATTAAAGATATAAATCGGCACGAGAACGGGTTTAAGTTTCGGAGGCAGTGAGGATATATAATCCCATATATATCGAATCCGCCGCGTTTAAAATATGTTGTGACCAATCGACTATTAACCATTCAATTTGTTTCGTGACCAATTTGTTTTTATTTTGCAATGGGGAGATGGGGAAAACTGTTACCCAATGGCGACAATGAAGGTGGGAAATGGGGATAGGAGAAGACACTTTATCGAGGATGGGGATGAGAATGACGTATCTGATCTTGCTTCAATCTATTGTCATCCCTAATCAAGTATCAGTTATCATGTTATCCAGTAGTTATTTAGGATCTGTCGTATTAAACAATTTCATAATTTTTTAAAACATTTCTTAACAACGTCTTCTAAGAACAAATTTTTTTAAGATCCAAAAACTTATTTGGTATGAGATTTAAAATTGTTTCTAAATTTACAATTAAAAAAAACCCCTACAACTCCCTTTTGATTCAGAAATTACAACTAAATTCAATTGAACAGATAGAGAGATAGAGGGTTGGAGAGGGATGAGAGAGGAAGAGCAGAGAGAGGAGAGAGAAGTAGGAGACAAAGATTTGGAGGCGAGGAGGAGAGAGAAAGAAAGGAGAGAAATAATCTGATCAGACGAGAGAGAAAAATAGGATATAGATAGAAAGCTAGAAGAGAAAGATCGGGAGTGAGAGTACAGGAGAGAGAGTTTAGAGTTTACAACTTTCCTCTCTGCTCACTCCCGATCTTTCTTGGCTAGCTCTTTATCTCTATTATATTTTTTAATACAAGCGATGATATACACAAAATCAATGTTGTCAAGGCAAAAGAACATTGGTGGAAATGCTCTTAGGTGCTTTTGGGCTCAAATCCTAGCGAATAATTGATAGTGTGAACTTTTCTTTGTTTCTGGTATATTACGTAATGGTTGGATTCCCTAGCGGAATCGAATGAGCATGAAGCAAATAGATGATATACAACAAAAAATTACAGCTCTTAACTTGAATAGGTGAGGTTCTTTTACTTGTCCCAACTCCGAAGGCGCTACACCATAACGTAAACACACGGTGCAACGCAATCACTAGGATTTTACTTCCTAAACCTTATCATACATCGTGTTCATATGGCACCAGATATACAATTGGCTTTCAAAATGATCGGCACGATCACCTTCGGTAATCGGTGCGTATACATCGAGTATTCTAACATATATACATAGAATGTCTGAAACCTATACATATATATAGGTGAACTCTGGTAACTAATGGCAAATGTATGCGCTATATATGAAAGCCTTGCACTAAGAATAGTATCGATTGTGTTTGAGGCTAACACCATTCATATCCATGTCGGAATTCGACCACGAAAATCCATGTCGGCATTTCTTACGTCGTCCTTGTCACTGGTCCTTTACACCGCTTCTTACAAAACACCTGTATGGAACAACCTCACCGTTGTTGTAAACCTAAGCACCCATGAAGACACCAATATGATAATTTTTCGTGCAATGATCACAACTAGAATACCTGCCAGACGGTAAGAACATCTGAGCATGCAGGATTGTGACCGGACCACAGCAGAATTCCCAAACACCATATTTCCTCACCATCAACGATCTCGGGATCAGTTGAAGCGGCTGCCAAAAGTTGAACTACGAGGAATAGATGCCGGCACCTGTCGGGGCAACCCTGGTTCTTTTGATGTAGCTTCAGCACTGGCGTTATCGACAAATGGCGCATATGGCAATGTCATACTCTTTTTCAGCATTTGCTGAATAGAATTGCAAAACAAGAAAGTTCATGTAAAACGTCAACTGTCCAGGAAGAATGTCACAAAAGTTGAGAAGAATATCACAAACAAGAAGCCTTCAGAAAGATAACTGTATCTATCAGCAACACCAATGCAACGGTGTAAAATACTTTCGATTTTTCTTCAGTTTGCATATTTTCGATTTTTCTTTAGTTTGTATGGACAAGTTTAGCATTTCATGGTGATTTGAACAAGTAAAAAGTCAATGCAACAACCTGACACTGCAAAAGCTCATTGATATGGCATTAAAATCTAACCTTTGGTTTGTTTGGTCCATAAGTGTTCATTGCTCGTTCAATTGATGAGTACACGTCAAGTGCTTGGGGGGTATCACGGATGCATTTTATGATACGAACGTGTTCCCTCATCTCTGGTTTATCTTGTAAATAAAGAATGACCCGTGAAGGTGGAGACTTTGGATGGTCCTTTTTCCCGTACGACTTTTCCATTATCACCAGGTCATCCCAAAGTACATCCCACAATACAGAACATGGATCCCTAGCGGGGTTGAACTTCTTCTGAGCTACATTGAAGGGTTGCTGAATGACAAAAGTTACAATGTCATTGTTTGGTGACTTTTTACTATCACTTATAGATGATAGGAAAGGACTGTAGCACTACGAATGATTCTAATCTGCTAACTTACTTGCAACAGTATCGCTCTTCGATGAGTGACTAGAAGAATTTTTCCTTTGCGTAGTAAAGAGTGATCTTCGTAAGCATCTGATAGAGCAAACTTCCCACGTACTTTAAACAGATCAACCTGGAGGAAAAACGAGCCTGATTCCGCCAGCTGCAATATAGCCTTCATGACCAAGAAAAAGAAAGTTTTAGTAAGAACGAGCAACAAAGGGGGTATCAATAAAACTAAACCAAGTTCAATTAATATAAAAAAAATAACATTACTGACAAAGCAGTCAAAAAATTAGTACCTGTCCTTGTGCTTTGTACCCATCATACGGTCGAATCAAATTATCACCACCGATTACACGAGGCAGCCTTTTGCGGAGGAGTTGCTCATCAGAAGTTATTGCTGATGCTATCTTCATTCTCATCGCATTGGCACCCTCAGTAGTTTTTGACAGAAGATCTAGAACCCCGCTCACTGGTTGTGCAGCTGCACCTATTAATCCTTTCCCAACACCTTGAACAAAACCCTCAACGCCAGAATTTTTGGCACCTTCAAGCGGCTTTGTCAATATGCCAGTAACTCCTCTGAAGAGGCCTTTCGCCAGTGCTCCACCTCCCTCTCTGAGAACATCACCAAAGTCCTCTACACCCTTGCTTTCCTGAAAAGTGAAAATTTTTAATTAAAATAAAAGTAAATAAATACAAACAGTCCAGATAATATAGCCATAAGTGAAATACTGAGATTTAGCAGTGCCGAAATTGCAATGAGCAAGAGCTGGAAAAGTACAGCCCAAGGAGAGTACGGTACATTGCATTTGCTATATCCATTACCGTATATGAACAAATTTATGTAAAAAATATTAATTTAATAAATCAATAACTTCCCCAAATATACGTTGACCAATAATTGTTTTATCTCCCTCACATGTGTTATAAGAACGTAACACTGTTGCAACCATAGAAAATTGTATGTATGATAAAATAATCAGTGCACAGGTGAAAAGACCTTTTCGAATGGCAATCTAAAGCAAACCTTTCTCTGTCGGCTTTGAATGAACTTCTTATCAAATGATAAGGCAGCCATGCCCTTGCTCATGTGTCCAAGGGCACTACTTGCATTGCCCAATATGTCAACACCAGATAGCAGTTGAAGAGGTTGGCCTAAAAGATCCTTTTGAGCGTTTGAAATAGCAATACTAATCATTGAACTCTGCCTCATGCACACATTCTCATTAAACTTTTGGTATATCCTCACCTAAAATAACAAACGTAAATACTTAGGCCAGCCGAAAGCTTCTAGGATGAATTCCAGAAAGAAAGAAAAAAACCATGAAATCAGAAAACAGCAGGAGGAAGAATCCCAACGCTTACTGGCATATTCTCAGTGTTCCCCAATGCAGTCATCAAAGATGCCCAAAAGCCAAGGACGCCTCTTGGCCGCTGACTAGGTGACATAGCCATTGACACTTTGAATCGAACCTCTGAAATGCTAAGAACTCTGCAAGTACAAGTAACATTATTTAAGGGAATTACGACTAAATGTAGTGAAAAACAATGATAAGACAATTTTGGAGTCCTTGAATACCCAATTTCAATAATCGGATCAACAGAAACAGCAGTTGTTTGAGTATCAGACAACCGACTGAGGTTGACCTGCTGAATCATCTCATGAAGGCGCCAAATGATTGGCTCATGAATGTTTACCAAAAAGGCAGAATTTTCAGGTCCCTGAATAATCAGTTGCATGTAATTAATATAAACTGGAGAAAAAAAT